AAAAAAAAAAAAAAAATAGAATAGTCTAAAAGCAAATGTTTACAGAGGCAAATAGTTGTATACCTGTAATAAGCTCTTATACTCTAAGCAAAGTACCATAGCATACATAGTGAAGCTTGTCAAGTCAGGAAGTTGATAGGTGAAGTTTCTTCTATTTGAGAAGTACAGTACCCACATACACACACACACACACACACACACACACACGATGAGTGTCTGTGTATATAAAGACAAAAAAGTGTTTTTCTCCCATGAAAAGATAAAGAACCATTGTTAGATAATAAATAGAAACAAAGAAATGGATAATGAGAGAAAACAAAAAAGAGTATGTTGCATGATACCTATATAGGTATAAATAATTTCTACTAACTATCAAATTCATTTTTATTTCTGAAATAGTGTTTCAATTACTAGCATTTGTAATTAATTTTCTGTGTCATGGAACAGGTTTAGCACTGACTATTTCATTTTCCTTCATGATAACCCTTGTGACTTAGGTATGTTATTTTGCAGAAGAGGAATCCTGTCAGTTGTCTAGTTTTGGGAATGGAAGAGTAAGTTCTGATTCTGCCTTAAAGCAGGAAACAGAACACAGTCATCTCCCAGGATCACTGTCCAAGGCTGAATAAAAGGAAAATGCCTGAAAGTTCATAAGCATTCATTTCTAGAAAATGCTGTCTGGAAATTTTACCCAATGGAAAGCTCATATGTCCTCATTATTATTGAATGGCATGTGTATTATCTTGTTTAAAAAGAAAAGAAAAAGTTTTCCTCAAGGAGTGTATCGGTAATCAAGAACTCTAGAATACACTGGAATCATTGGTGCACAGAAGTTTTGGCATGACCTTTATTCTTTACTTTTTTCTTGTGTTTTAGATCCATCACTCGCGCCTACTACAGGAACTCAGTAGGTGGTCTTCTCTTATTTGACATTACCAACCGCAGGTCCTTCCAGAATGTCCATGAGTGGTTAGAAGAGACCAAAGTACATGTTCAGCCCTACCAAATTGTATTTGTTCTGGTGGGTCACAAGTGTGACCTGGATACACAGAGGCAAGTGACTCGCCACGAGGCCGAGAAACTGGCTGCTGCATATGGCATGAAGTACATTGAGACGTCAGCCCGGGATGCCATTAATGTGGAGAAAGCCTTCACAGATCTGACAAGAGACATATATGAGCTGGTTAAAAGGGGGGAGATTACAATCCAGGAGGGTTGGGAAGGCGTGAAGAGTGGATTCGTACCAAATGTGGTTCACTCTTCAGAAGAGGTTGTCAAATCAGAGAGGAGATGTTTGTGCTAGTCAGCCCTTTTATTTTGAAAACATGCTCTCCCATTTAAACTTAAAAGTTATCAAAATAAATAGAATCCTTATGTGACTGAAGAGAACTCAACCATTGAATACCAAGTGAGTCTCCTTCCTGGGGTGGGGGTGGGGGGCTGGCTCTGACAGGCTCAGGTACAGGTGGATGGGGGAGACTGGGTACTGTGACTGGGGGACTGAATTGCTAGCATGAGCTAGGCCACACACTTTTGTGGCCCAGGCTTGGCAGTGGCTGCTACATGTGCCCTTTGTGGACTACATGTTAAGGGTCTGGAGTTTGAGAAGCTAGGTTCCAGGAAAACATACCTACAGACAGAACAACTGTTCCTTGATATTTCAGATCACTCACGGGTCATGAACATAGAGAAATGTGTAAAGGGGGATAACTACCATAACTAAAAAGAATATGAGGTCAACATATTTAATGAGAATATCCCAAGTAAAATGTTTGGCTTCTAACAGCTCACCTGTAAACAAGGGGCATGATCAGCCCCTTTAGTAAATGCTAAAGCCCTTTCAAGGTCTGGTATTCTAGTCAAAATGATCTAAATGTGAAAAAGGGAGGCGATTCACAGTTACCACATTCGAAAAGATATACACTGTTATGACAGAGCTACCAGCTGCAAGAAAGAAATTATCTCATGCAAATTACCATAGAAATAGAAGAAAGAAACAGTGTAACCCCAATGCCAAACCCCTTCCCCTTTGACTCTTCCTGGGGTTTCTCTGCAATCTGGAAGTAAGCACCATGCCTGCTCCTTGACAATAACAACATCGGGATTGTTTTCACAGCCCTTTGAAAAACCCTTGCTCAGCTGTCCTGTACCGATTGGTTGCCCAACAGGAGGCACTGTGACCCTTAAAAACACATCCCACTTGCTTGCTCTACTTATTTGATCATATTTAATAGGCCTGTGATGTTTTTTTCTCCATTTTACAGAATAGTAAGCTAAAAGCCAGGACACTCACTTGGCCAAGTTGTCAAGGGTTCCTGCCTGATTCTGAGTTCTTGTCACTGTCATCATGCTGTCAGATCAGTAAATTATTAATTTGTTAGCATTGGAAGACACATGCCCATGAATAAATGTTCTTTACATGCTAGGATATGTTTTCCTTATGGATCAGAAGTCCACTATAATCCTGAAGAAACTTGGGGATGAATCAAAGGTAAAACTTATTCAGGTATTAATGACAACAGAGCTTCACACAGGTGATTCATCACACAACTAAAAACACATTCAAATCGTGTGAGCTCTAAGAGTTCTTATCACTGAAACACAATGGGCATTTTATTGAAAGGAGCTAAATATAACAATGGGGATAAAATACTCACACCACAATGACCTTGGCCACTTGTCTGCCATGTACCAAACACTGGGTTCCTGTCTACCCTAGAGAGTCAGCTCTTAATTCTCAGGTGAACAGGCAGCTAACCAAGTAAAAGAAAATTGGAATGACTGGCTCAAAGGTTCTGTTATCTTCTTGAAGAGAGTGATGCTTAAAACTAATTTTTCGGACGGTAGCCAGTTCAGCTAGCCAAAGCCATACTTTTCACAGTAAGAAAATACTCTGATTTAGTCAGGTTTCTCATATCCATTGTGGTAGGAAAACCTAAAAACTGACACATTGCTTTGTAATAACGTGCATTAATGTGACTGAATCTGCTTCAGCCAGAATAAGAAAGCAAAATAACAAAAATATGAAAGATCATTTCGCCATTTGTGTCCCAGATTGGATAAGCAAACCACCTTGGACCAATTTACATCAGCAACTACAAATGAGCTGATCACTTTCTCTATATCCACTTCCCACAACCTGGCTTGGGTGAAATAATTAAAATGCCAGCTTCTTGTTTATAGAAAATAAGTATAAAAAATGGTTAATTGAGTCAACACAAACTTTCAACTAGTATACTTATGTGTAGAAGATTCTCAAAGCAGGATTAGTACTTAAATGAAAGTTGGCTAGATTCTTATCCATTCAAAAAAATAAAAGGACAGAAACAAAATCTCTATAGTTTTCTTGATTAAAATACATTATATACTTTCCTATTTCTGGCATTTTTAAAGCAGGTTTAAAGCTATTCAGCATAGATACAGCAGAGGTGGCTGAACTTAATTATTTGAATAAATTCTACAAATTTTAAAAGTCATTTTAGTAGAATTCAGTGATGTCACTGCATTGAGTTTTAGAAAATAAGTGTGAAAAAATCAGATGTTAATATAATACTAAGGATAAAACTTAGAAGTTATTTTACTACATAGGTAAAGAAAAGATTAACTTGTAACAAAGACCACAACTGCATGTTGGATTAGATTGTCTTATCTTCCAGAACAAACTGTACTATATACTTTTCCTCATTGTCATGCACTGTAATGAAATGTGAAAATTCTTTATTTAGCTGTATGTGAATGAAAATATGCTTGTATTTAGTAAAATGGTTGATTATGTGGACTGTGATACTCAGTGTGTGTTGTAGCTCTTTTCAGAATCTTGCTCCGGTTATTTTTGAGATGGGTGCTTACTTCTTGCTCAGGCTTGTACCTGGACATTCATTAATCCACCTATTTTAGGTTTCCTGCCACAGCTAAGATGACAGGTATTTGCTGCCATATCCAGCTTCTATTGATTATGGACTCCTAAAGACTTTTCTGCCAAGGCTGGTCTGGAATTGCAATCCTCCCCATCTCAGGCTACCAAGTAGCTATGTGACCCACAGGTGCCAGGTATCCATTTAAGTGTCACAATTTAACATGTCCCAGATCAAATTCCCAATCTTTCTCTCCAATGTGTTCCGCTTATAGCCCACTTCTCCCAGTAAATCTCAGCTTTGTCATTCTATATATTCCTGCCAAAACACTTGCACTCTTCATCCTTGACTTCATCCTTTTGTAGTCCACATATAATCTGAATTTATGCAGAAGTCACCTTAAAAGTATAACCAAAATCTGATTTTTCCACATTCTCACTGTTAACACACCAGTGTTAGCTACCTATCACTTGTTACGGGGTTATTTTGATAGCTAAGGTCCCTGCAGCCACTCTTAATGTACCTCCCTACCACAGTCTGTTCTCCAGCAGCCTGAAAGACTCAATAGGGCATTAGTTATAAGCAATTGCCTACTCATAATTCTTCAGTAGTTACCCATTTTACCCAGGCTAAAACACAAACTCCTTCTAGTGGAACGAAGAACCCTGCTTCATTTCATAACCTCTGTAACTTCATTTCTTTTTTTTTTCAAAAAATATTTTTTTATTGTAAAGATACTATACAGAGGGTTACAGTTACATGAGCAAGGTAATAAGTACATTTCCTATTGAGCATTGTTACCCCCTCCATTGTTTTCCCCCTACCATCCCTTCCCTCCCTACCTTCCCCGAGGTTCTTTTTTTTTTAAATTGTGATTAAGTGATTACATAATTTCCCGAATTTCACAGTATTGTGGAATAATGATGCTCATTTAAAGTCACAAGTTCATTCTAACTTTCCTTGAGCAAATTGTCTATCACAGTCTGTAACATATAACGGTGTGTAACTTCATTTCTTACTGCTAACAACTTGTTCATTTTATTCCAGCTATAGTCTCCTTTCTTGTTTTTCAAATATATCAAGCATGTTCCCACCTCTGGGGCCTTGATACTTGCTCTTCCTGCTGTCTATACTTCTTTCCTGGGATAGCTGCATGGATGGCTTCCTCACATCCATTAAGTTCTGGTGCAAACACCTTCAAATTTCATGAGCAGCTTCTAGATCCTAGGAAAGAAATGGCCCCAGAAGTCATTACTGACAGATTAATATAGAGTATTATTCTTTAGTCTTTACTGAGAAACAGCTAAATTTGCAGCACACAAAAAAGGGAAAGAAACTTAGGAGAGTAGAGCAGTAGTATCACAATGTGGCAGTAAGTTCAGATTTACTGGTGGACAATTTCTGTCACTAAGCCTCACAGGAAGTTGGTGCTCTTGGTTCTGTCTATGGAACTCCATCATTTGCTCTCCTGCATTTCCCCTTGCCCAAACAATCTCATCTAAACCATGACTCAGTTACTGCAAGGACTCCAGCCCACTCTTCTGAGCATAATACCAATACAACCAATTGTCTACAACACACAACCATAAACAATTCAAACTTAAAATTTTCAATACCAAAATTAAAAGCTATCAAATGTACTCCCTCCACTCCACTCTTCCTCTCTAGTTATTTCTTCCAACATCCACAGGCTTGCTTTAACAGAAACTTTGAAATTATGCCTAATTCCTTACTCCCCCTTATTCTTCATACCAAATTCATCGAGAACTGTTCATTAACTCTATCTTCAAAACCTGTCTACAATTTTCTCCATCTTCATTGCTATCATCTTTGCCCAAGTACTTTCAATTCTTATCCAAACTACTTCAATATCTTACTAACCCACCTCCTGCTTCTGCTCATCCCTACATTCATGAAAAATCCCCAACATAACAGCTAGAAGGATCCTTTCACAACATGCCAGGTAAAGTCATCACTCTTTTTGTTTTGTCGGTCATGGGACCTGAACTCTGGGGCCTGGGCGCTGTCCCTGAGCTCTTCAGCTCAAGGCTAGCGCTCTACCACTTGAGCCACAGCACCACTTCCACCCTTCATAAATTCTACCCATGGCTTTCCATCACAGTTTGAACGAAATTCAAATGACTCTTACATTTCTTAACATGACTATAAGGCCCTGAATAATCTGGTCTAATTTCTAATTTTGAGTTTTTCAAAAGTATACATCTTACTCATCTTGTTCAGTTATTACTCCAATCTACAGAATACACATGGCCTTAAATAACTTAAACATTTAAATGAATGATTTTCTGTCTTACTTTAATCCAATAGTTTGATTTTTCAATTCAGTAAAATATACACATGACTATCCTGAAGTACTACTAATTGTTATAAGTGTCTGGAATCCTCTGATTACAAAAGTTGCTTGTTTCTATGAGAGAGAGAGAGAGAGAGACCTTGTTTTAAACTTCTTTAGGGTCATTATGTAATCAACCACTGCCCATTTAGGCTTCTATGCAAGCCTAGGACTTTATTTTTGTCACCTTTCTTTCTTCTGGCTCTTGTGGTCAACTCCATTCAACTACCAGTTCCTAAAGAAAATGTTTTTAGGACCTACTTTTCAAGTTGTTTTATTCTTGCCAGTCCTAGGGCTTGAACTCAGGGCCTGGGTGCTATCCCTGAGCCTGTTTGTGCTCAAGGCTAGTGCTCTACCACTACAGCCACAGCACCACTTCTGGCTTTTTCTGAGTAGTTAATTGGAGATGAGTCTCACAGACTTTCCTGCCCAGGCTGGATTCAAACTGTGATCCTGAGATCTCAGCTTCCTGAGTAGTTAGGATTACAAGCCACCGGCACCTGACCAAAAGGTTGTTTAACAGAATGAGTAAGAGTATAAATCTTGCCAGGCACTGGTGACTTGTGATTGTAATCCAACATATTCAGGAGGCTGAGATCTGAGAATCACAATTTGAAACTACTCTGGGCAGGCAAATCTGTAAGATTCTTTTATCTTCAATTAACCAGCAAAAAGCCAGAAGTGGAGAAGGTGTGGCTCAAGTGATAGAGTACCAGCCTTATGCGAAAAAAGTTTATGAACAGTGCCCAGGTCCCAAGTTGAAGTCCCAGTACCAGCACAGATAAAAAGGATATGAATCGGGGCTGGGAAGTTGGCTCAGTGGTAGAGCACTTGCCTTGCATGCCTGAGGTCCTGGGTTCGATTCCTCAGCACCACATAAGCAAAAAGATAAAAAGCCGGAAGTGGCGCTGTGGCTCAAGTGGTAGAGCGCTAGCCTTGAGCTGAAGAGCTGAGGGACAATGCCCAAGCCCAGAGTTCAGGCCCCACGACCGGACAAAAAAAAAAAAAAAGGATATGAATCTTGGAGTAAGATACACACAGGTTCAAATTCTGACTATACAGGTAATTTTATAGATTCAGTGCCTATGAGTCCTTTTTTACACAGATATAAAATTGGAGAGTATCTAACCCAAAGGGTTGTTGTAAGGATGAAATGTGTGTGTGTGTGTGTGTGTGTGTGTGTGTGCCCTTAGTCAAAATACTCACAAAATATTAAGTATCTGGTATATTTGCACCTAAATTAATTTTTCATAAATAATATTATGTACACAATACTGGGGCAGTCTAAGCTACATAGAGACACTATGTTTCAAAAACACAAAAACCAAGGGTGGCCAGGCGCAGGTGGCTCACACTTGTAATCCTAGCTATTGAGGAGGATGAGATCTGAGGATCACAGTTTGAAGCCATCCTGGACAATAAAGTGTGTGAAACTCTTATCTCCAATTAACCACCAAAAAGCTGGAAGTAGAGCTGTGGCTCAAGTGGTAGACTGCTAGCCTTGAGCAAAAACCCAAGGACAGCCCTGAGTTCAAGCTCCACACAAATGAGAAAGCAACCAGTTATGTCAAATGCTACTGATGAAATGATCAAATCTAACATAAAATGAAGTCTGTCCATTGGTCCTTACAATATGTAAGTCTGAAGACTTGGACCAGAGTATTAACATTTAAAATCTGACTAAATACAAGGGAAAAGAATAGTACAACATGACAGGATGTCAGAAGAGATCTTTTTTTTTTTTTTTGGTCGGTTATGAGGCTTGAACTCTGGGCCCAGGCACTATCCCTCAGCTCTTCAGCTCAAGGCTAGCGCTCTGCCACTTGAGCAACAGCACCACTTCCGGTTTTCTGGTTAATTAGAAATAAGTCTCACGGACTTTCCCATCCTAGCTGGCTTTGAACCACAATCCTCAGATCTCAGCCTCCTGAATAGATAGAATTACAGGCGTAAGCCAATGGCGCCTGGTGAGAGAATATTTTTAAGGTAAAAAAGAGTCCGTGGAGAATGACTGAGGACTCAGGAGAGAATCATTCTTCTAAGACTTGAAGAGACAGTCATCATACAAACAGGAGGGGAAGTACACATTGCTCTGCCATATATAATGTAATGCATGTGTTCCTAAAAATTTTATTCTGCAAAATTGTACCATATCTGTTTTGATGTGAATTAAATTCCCCTAAAAAGTTATGTCAAGGACCTAATCCCCCAGTAGTAGTAAATCTGATCTTCTTTGGAAACAGCCTCGTGGCTGATGTAATTAGTTGAGCTCCCATGGGATCAGGGTGGTACTTCAAATCTAGCATGATTGGTATGTGTAGGAAAATGGAGCTATTTAGGATCCCTCATCCTAAATTCTGAAGTATCCTGACGCTGCACTTTTATAAGATTGTGATTCAGCATATTCATGTAACCTTGAATTATGTACATATGTGATACCTTAGGTAATCTTGAGGTATATTGTATCCAGATGCATTTGTCTAGTGATATTATAAACATGCACCACTGGAGGACAAGATGAAGTCTGTTAATCTGTGTCACTGCTCAGTCAGTGGACAGTTTTGAATAAAGCATGAC